AACTGCATAAAACTAACTGGAGACATACATCGGGTGATAGCTGTGGAAACCAGTAGGATGATAATAACAATTGCTATCAGGATCCATCCCAACACCTAATGAAAACAACAAAACAACCAGTTAAGTCACAGTCTCAGCCTGCCTGTCCTCTCTCTCTCCCTCCCCTTCCAGCCAGTCCCCTTCTCCCTACTCTTTCCCCCCCCACACACACATATTCACATATTCTCAGATAAAGCTGTGAGGGCAGTGAACAAACAACAATTTTAGTACTTAATCCCGGGAGAAGGAGTGAAAGGTACCCTGTCCCTCATACGTGCTCAGAAAGCCAGACATACTGCAAGTTGCCCCAGCGAGTAGACCCTGTCACTCCCACAGAGCTCAAACCATGTGGATCTTCTCTCCAACTCAGTAATGTTCCTTTGTGGTTAAAGAGATTGGATGCTACCCAACCAGAAGGTCTGGGATTGGAGCCTAACGGTCGCTTTGTAAGAGATTTGAGGGTCTGTAAATTCTGTAAAGATTTCCAGCTTTGGAAACCTGTTTCTAACATCGCTATGGGTGGGAATCTAGGGCACAGTATTTTTGGTTTTGGAAGGTTTTGGGTGAGGAAGGCTTTCCAACTAAGCAAACCCATTTTGTTGCAACCATTCTTTGCTTTTCTCTTGGGTAGAAAAAAATATTTTACCTAGAGTGAATGCAGAAAATTGTTAGAAAATGGAGATAAAAACACCTCGACAGTGAGATTATGCGATTTAATAATACAGGCTATGAATAATGCAACCCCAAAGCCGTTATCTACCACAAATTAGGTACTCACCCTACATGACTGCTTTTTGTGTTTTGTTTGTTTAAAATAGTCTTATTCCTATATTCGCCTATCAGTTCCTTAGAAGCCAAGCCGGTAGCTTTCCTAGCTGTAATAGGCCTTTCTGTGCTTGGAGAAAGGATCTTTCTGGTCTTCCGTAGGTGTCTCACTTCACTTCTAACTGTCCTGTGAAACGTTGCTGCTTCCCCACATTCTTACTTCCTCCCCTCCACCCCGCTCACCCAGGGTGTCCCGTGTCACCATCTGACCTGCGACTGAGCCTTGAGCACTTTAAGAAGGTCCTGCATGTCGGTCTTCTTGCCTGGGTTGCAGGGCACTTGGTGCAGCGTTTTCATGCACTCCGAGGTATTGTTGCACAGGCGCCGCGCGAAGAACGCGCTCCCGCTGGCCGCGCACTCATAGAAGGCGCCCCCAAGCAGCGCCACGGCCACCCAGGTGAGCGGCGCGAGCGCGGCGGCGGCGCTCAGGTGCGAGAACACCAGGGCCCCGCGCAGCCGGGTACCGCAGCCCCTGCTGCCGCCCCGAGCGCAGCAACCCGTGAGCAGGCGCCACGTGCGCGCGCTCAGCATATAACCCAGGAGGAAGAGTGCGAGCGCCGGCACCAGCAGGAAGACCAGGCCGTAGGGGAGGTTCCAGGTGGTGCTGCAGGGGCACGCGAACACCACCGTGGAGAAGATACGCTCCCCGCCCGCAGTCAGCAAGGTCACCAAGCCATAACTCAGAGCGCTGTGGTGTTTGAGGTACTGGTCCAGCACTGTCTGAAACTTATCCATGGGTCTTCCTCGACAGGTCCAGATGCGTCTGCAGTTGTGTTGCCTCGAATTCAAATGCAGATGGGTGGACTGAAGTCTGCGGTAGTTCCTTCTCAGTACCAAGAAGCAGTTTAAATAAAGGGAAGAACGTTCACAGACCCTGGGAGCTTTCACTTTCTCATTTCCACCCAACCAGCATTGGCTGCCAGACAGACCCAGGCAAACACACCATTGACCCTGTCAGCACGCACCCTTTTGTTTTACTGGTACTTTTGTTTTGCCAAACTGCTCCCAAACAAGGAGTTTTTCCTTACCCTTACTGAGACAGTGCAGGCCACTCTGTGGCAAGGGTACTTTTTACTTTTCCACTGTTACCACTCTGGTTCCCAAGCCAGCTCATAGTAAGACCAAACAATTACAAAAAAAGCTTGTTTGTTACAGGAAACATCGTTCAAAGACAAATTTGTGGTTTCGCTTTGATAAGTTGAAACAACAGTTTAAAGCCCAGCTCAAATTCTAACCCCCTGCAATGCTCTGCCCTACCCATCTTCCTTCAGGACAGAGCACTAGCCTGGCTCACATGAGTTGCTCCCTGCTTGATGGCCACAAGATAGGCCCTAGGTCCAACTCATTTTTCAGCCCATGAACATATTGTGTTGCTGTCTTATTCCCCCCACCACCACCACCACCAGGTATAACACTGGGGGCGTGGAGCACCGATGTAATTAAAGACCTCCATAGTGATCAACAGACAGGGCTTCATGGTTGTTTAAAAAAGCTAGTTGAATTAATAGTTCCAAACAGCATCAGCCTTAAACTTGTTTTCCACACCTTTCATTTTCTCTCTGCAGCCTTTCTGTGACACAAACTACCATAACCACTTTGGTGACACCAAGCATATTCTATGCAGCTCCAGAGTGAAGCAAGATATCTTTAGGTGAACACCAACTTAAGAGTCAAGTGCATTCTCTATATGCTTAACAAATTAGCCCCACTAAAGCTCAGTGGTCTAATTGTAAAAATAGGGTAATGGTCTCAATTTTCAAGAAAATTGAGGGAGTAAATTCAGTAGCAAAGTGTGAAGTGCTTTAATAGAGGTGTGCCTATCAAATGCTCTGTGTGAGGTACTGCTTGCTTATAGTTTTGAGAATAGGTCACCTGCAAATAACTATATTATAAATAAGTTAAGGCTTCAGACAGTTGCTCAACTTTAGACCTAGATTTCTAGCCAAAAACTCAGTGCTCCTCTACACTTTTAAAGAATTTGTGTCCCTCTTGAGCTATGTGCCTCATCTAAAGAAAACATCTAGATATGGAGTCTGTATGGCAGATTGTAGTGAACTGGCTGGTTTTGGTACCTATCCACTAAATTGGCCTTATTTTATCAGAGTTGTAGGCTACGGAGTCCATTGAATTGTGATTAAAGAGGGAACTTGTTTTCTTAGCTCTCCTCCTACACACTCCACCCCCAGTCCATCAGTGCGTAGGACCTAGAACAAAACACCACTTTATTGTAGTTTGTTGACTTGTTGTTGTAGTTATGTGCCATCGAGTTTCATAGCGACCCCATGCACAACAGCTCAGAAGCCTACCCTGTCCTGGGTCAAGTCTCACTGACTCTGACACATCAACCCCCATTGCCCCAGTTACTGTATCAGTTCATCTCATTGGGGTCTTCCTCTTCTGCACTGTCCCTCCACCCTTCTGAGCATGATACTCTTCTCCAAGGATTGGTCCCTTCTGGCCACGTGGCCTAAAGTGTATGAGAGAGAGCTTCAAAATCCTAGATCCAGTGTGAAAAACAATGTATGTGAATTTTATGAACTTTGTGTGTAAACCAGTATTAAAAAAAATATAAATCGTAGCCTCCAAGGAGAAATTTGGTTTCACTCTCTTCAAGACAGACCTATTTATGTTTCCTCGAGAGTCTCATTGTGTGGCTGGTTAGTGGCCTCAGGAAGCTGGTTCTCAGACCTGCTTATTTATGCAGTACAGCTTGGGCCCTCTTCTCAGAGACTATATAGGACGCACTATCAGGGATCATCAGTGCCTAGAAACTTGGAGTGAAACCGTATGTTTAAGAAGAATAACATCTGTTAGGATTCCTCTCTGTAACTTTCTTTCCTTTAAAAGTCTGTCCCCTCTCGTGGCAGCTCACTGTCTTCCTAGTGCTATTAGAGGCTGCGTTACTCCGCCCTACATCCCTACAACATTCCCTTCTCTCCTCCACACCTCCCGTTTCTGTCCAGAACCAATTTCACTTTATCCATAACCTTTGTGCAGTGGGCTTTGTCCAGGTCTAAACTGAGATCCAATTAAAATGGACTTTTTGAGCTTTGTGAGCAAATTTTATCAATATGCATTTAACAAACCAAAAGGGAGGGCTGGAATTTCCCTAGGGACTTGCCGTTATGTCCACAGCTGGGCATTTCCAATATTCTGGAACAGTTTCTCTTCCTCTGGGGCTCAAGTTGGTTAGCACTCCCTCATCTCTTCATTTTTCCTACCATCTGTTTTAGTTTCCTCAATTATTCAGATTTCTGCATCTGCTGACACCCTTCTTCTTTCTCCCTTCTTTTCCAGGCCCTTCCTGACATTAGTTAATGATGTTATTTTCAAATAACTTTTTAATTACAGAAACTCTTGCCAGTTCCCCTTCCCCTACTAGACTTAATCCTTTGTTAATAAATTTATTACTTAACTCAGTCATTATTTTTCCTTTAAAATTTATTTCATTCTGTCATACTAATTTCAATATCCACAATGCAATCACTCATTCCCCCTTTCCAGTAATAATTGTGATTTCTGTTCATTTTTCCATACCTTTATGTGTCTTCCCTTGCTTTAATAACATTGTGCTGATCATACCCTATTGTCTTTCCTTTCACCTATCTTAAGATATTTCTATTCATTATTTACTAACCTTTTTAAAATAAAAAGGCTGGTTTAAAATTATTTAATGGTTTAAGAAGCATTCAGGTTGTGAGAAAGGAGAAACCTGGTATTTCTGAGTACATCAAGGAGCAAGACTAACAGGCACCCTAGTCACATTGAGCTTGCTTATATGACAGAGGAGAGCACACAGCTAATGACCATTGTGGTGGTTCTAGAGACTATAAACCACCACCAGCAGCAGCAGCAGTTGCCATGGACTTGATTTGTACTCATGGCAACACCATGTATCTCAGAGAGTAGAACTCTGGTCTGGAGAGTTTCCAATAGCTGAGTTTTGTTGTGGGTTCTACCCCTTCACACACACCCCACCCACACCCCCAGAAATAGATCACTATGCTTCTTCCAAAGCACCTCTTGGAAGTTGCCAACCTTTTAGCCAGCAATAGCGGAGCTAGTTAACCATTTATACCACCCAGAGACTCCAAAATTTATGCAAAGACTTAAAGTAGAATGATATGCTAGGGAGAGTTCTGAGAAAGCCTCAGTGAGGAGACAACATTGAAGCTGAGCACAAAGTGTCTGTGTTGCAACAGAATGTGATTTTCTGTGGTTAGAATGAAAGAAGGAATGTTAAGAACATGTATGATGAGAAGGGTTAGCATTCCGTGAGGACAGAGCTGCAGTTTGGAGCCAGGCTCAAGAGCTGGAAGTTGCTGAGAGTTGTCCTTGAAGCTATTTCACCTCATGACCATCACATGTGTTCAGAGTATAATTGCATCACAGACTTTTCAAATCTGCCTCCTTTTAGAAGTGGATTGCCTGCCCTTTCTCCCTAGATGGTTTTGAAATGTCAGCCTTTCAGCAAAGGGTTGAGGCCTTCCACTTCATATATTTCGTTTTGTATGTATGTAGTTTCAGTCTCTGAAAACTCATTACAGACCAAGCTGCATGTGACATAATATCAGTCCTGAGAGGACGTTGCACAAAAATTCAACCTTCGGTTGAAATAGAGTAGCATACTAGTAATATGCAGAGAATTCAATAATCTTCTCAGAGCATGAAATAAATAATATGTAAGAGTCTTTACCTTATGAAAAGCTAAGATTCTAATCCCAACTGCTTTAGCTTTAATGAAATGGGTGAGGGAGAGTACACGGTAAATCCAAAAGTCATGGATTTTGGCTTTTTAAGCAGACCTTAGTGATTGGAACATGGCATGTGAGAACCATGAATGTAGGAAAATTAGAAATTGTTAAGAAAGAAATGGAACGCATAAATATTGACATATTAGGCATTGGAG